CATGGATATCAACTCGCTATTGTCGCCATCGGACTCGCCTGCGGGCACCCCAACACCACAAGCCGCCCCTACCATCCCGTCGCCGTCACTACTCCGATCCCCGGGCAAGCGCACAAGACGCCAGATGCCATCGCGAACACCTTCGGGTCTAAGCCAACAGATCAGGTCCTCCCCGCAGCCGCCCCAGACGCTCCAACAGCGTGTGCCGTCCCCGGGATACGCCCACATCGCGAACGGCGCAAGAGGAGTACACAGCGCAATGGGAACGCCACAACAAATAGCATCGCCGCACGACGCGCGCATGGCGACCCCGAACCCCATGTACCGCCAAACATCCACACCGGGCATGGACACTCTTGCAGGTACGTGCCCGCTTTCTTTGGGGTAGAGGCACACTGCTGTAGACGGCCCCCATATGAGGGAGCCGCAGCTTAGATGCAGGGAGGAAAGAGCTACGACAAACGACGATGGGTCGCTAGCTCCCAGGGAATCTGCTAACAACTTTCAGACCTTGCCAGCATGCAGCAACAACAAGCTGCGCGCCAGAACTCTGTAGTCCACCAACGGCCTGTCACGTAAGTTCTTCATCTTTGCTGATTTTTCTCGGCCGCCCCATTTCTGAGCCGACGACTGCACCTGCATGTCCACAAGTAGCGCGCTTTATGTTTTGTGGGGCAGGCAGTGACGTCCGGGTGTCGCGCTTGCCCGTGATCACGGGTTGCTGTAGCCTGTTCCGGCAGCCTAGTTTTGTCGCGCAAACTCCACCACCAAACACTGACCACTTGCCAGACTGCAACACCTCGGACAAAACCTCTCCGGCGAGTCCGTAGCTAGCATCATGTCCGAGGCCTCACCGCGACCGCGCAATTTCATCACTCGCTCTCTCGACCAACAGCACATCGACTGGCTCAACCAACTCGATAAAACGCTGCTGGAAAACCCATTCGACTACTACAGCCATGTTTCGCTCGTCACCATTCTACACCAAGGGCTCCAAAAACACCTCGCTTCGTTCGACTCCGACCCAAACGCGTACGACCCAAATGCGTACGAGTTGGTCCAGACTCTGCGCGATGCCTACAAAACCATGTCAGACAAGTACCCGCTTGGCGAGCTCTTGTGGCATTACCGGCTGAACGACGAGAAGACTCTGGCCAAGGATGTGGAGCAGCGCATGGGTGTGCTCGAACTGCACAAGCAGGCAACACAAGAGGAACCTTACAGCGCAAAGCTTTGGGCTGCATACGGCGAGTATGTGAGCTACCTGGTCGCCTGCTCTTGGGAGCAAGTACCCCCAGAGGAGTGGTCTGAAGAGGAGAGGCTTATTGGTCGAGAGCTCTTCCAACCCCAACTGCTACTGGACGCGCTGCAAGAAGGTGCTGAGAGAGTCAAGTACAATCTCCAAGAGAGTAATCTCGTCTGGGACCGCTACCTGCAGGTTTTGGAAGAAGACCTCGAGCGAGGAGGCTTCAGCCAAGAGAAGGCGAAGAGGGTAGCCGCCATCTACAACGACCGCCTCGGCCAACCACATGCAACATGGGCGAACACCCTTAGCAGATACTCTTCTTTCAATTCTCGCTACAATCAAAGCCACTACGAGCAGGTTATGGATGAAGTGGTGCAAAAGAATACACACATCAAGCAGCAATACGCCAACCGCGAAGAGTACGAGTTCAAACTCCTGCAGGCTATCCAAGCAGGCGACCAAGCTGCAGAGTACACCGCCATGACACGCTACTTGAAATGGGAGAAGAGGACTATGGGTGTCTACAGCTTCCATCTCGTCAATGCACTTTATGAGCGAGCCACGCTCCGATTTCCCGTCGATCCTTCCATATGGGAAGACCACGTTGAGTTTCTCGTTTGGCAGGATAACCGGTCGGTAGATTTACTCAACGTTCTCGAGCGCGCGACACGCCATTGCCCATGGTCCGGGTCACTCTGGTCCCACCGGTTATTGACACTCGAAGCGGAAAACAAGCCATTCGAGGACCTTGAACTTGTCAAGCACACAGCCACTGGGTCCGGACTTCTGGAGCACACTGATTTGGATGAACTCATCAAGGTTCAGCTCGCCTGGTGTGGATATCTTCGGCGAAGGGCTTTCGATGACCCCAGAGCAACGGAGGATGATGTCGATGTTGCCGAGGTCGGAATTCGATCGGCTTTGGAGTTTGTCCGAGAGGTCGGCATGAAGAAGCATGGCAGGGAATGGACGGACCGGAAATATCGTCTTGAGCGCGCCCATATCAAGTTCTGGCTCCAACGCGGTGACATCGATCAAGCCCGACAGATTCAGGACTCTATCACCAAGTACCAGGAGGACTCTTACGACTTCTGGTATCGCTGCTACATATTCGAGATGCTCCTGTGGGCGCCACATGCAACGAGGGGCAAGCAAAATGCAGGTCAACCGTTATTGCCGCCCACCCAGGCCACTGCCATTCTGGAACGTGGCATGAAGCGCTTACAAACGATTGATCAACCAGAGCTGCTCATCGACATGTACATTAGCCATTGCGAGCAGCACGAATCAGCGTTAAAGGTGCGTAGCGCAACGATCGAGCGACGACGAGCTGAGCGCATCGTGTCCGTCCGGAGGGAGAAAGAACGAGCACTTGCGGCCGCTGCAGCTCCGCCACAAGACACGCCAGATAGCCAAGTCGGAGACAGCTCGACGAAGCGGAAACGAGAGGACGGTGACGAGGACGCAGTATTGAAGAAGAGCAAACATGTAGAGATCTCAGAGGCTCTTGACGGGGTCAATGGTCAAGCCAGAGTCGCGAGCGAAGCACCGTCGGAAGCTCGCTCTACAGGACCGAAACGAGATCGCGAGCACACTACAGTCATCGTCAAGAAGCTACCACTCAACACTACACAGACTCGAATACGCCAGTTCTTTACCGACGCAGGCACAGTCCGCAATCTAGTACTGAAAGAGGAGAAGGATAGTCTCACGGCTGTGGTGGAGTTTGAGTCACCCGAAGAAGCCCAGTATGCTCTGAGCAAAGAGGCGAAAGGATTCGAAGGTCACAACATATCGATTGAGCGAGGCCAAAGCACGACATTATACGTCACAAACTACCCTGCGCATGCCGACGAAGCCTGGATCCGGAACCTCTTCAGTCCATTCGGAGAAATTATCGGCATTCGCTTCCCTTCACTCAAGTACGATGCGCATCGCCGGTTCTGCTACGTTCAATTTGCTTCAGCTGAACAGGCGGTCGCTGCGACACAGCTGGACGATACTGACGTTGAAGGGTTGAAACTAATCTCAAAGATCTCCGACCCCAACGCCAAAAAGAAACGCGATGGCGCTACCTCCGAGGGTCGCGAAGTCTACATCTGGCATCTCAACTTCAAGGTCAAAGAACGAGAAGTTAAGGACGCCTTCTCCAAGTTCGGCAAGATTGAGAGGACCAAGTGCCCAACTATCAGGTCGACTGGCAACAATCGCGGTTTCTGTTATGTCGTTTACGATAACAAGGATAGCGCTGATGCAGCAGTGGCAGAAATGCATGAAAAGGAGTTTGCAGGCATGAAGATCCATGTCGAAATTGCAAAAGAGCGACCTGACACGAAGCCAAAGGTGCAATCAACTCTCGAGAACACGGAAAACCCAGCCGTTCGCGAAGGTACTCCTGGACAGAGCGACGCTGCTCCTGAAGCCGCTATCAAGCCCGCATCCTTCATGGACCGATCCATTGCAATCCTCAACCTGCCTGACACCGTGCCTGACGTGCGCATCAAACCGCTTGTCGAACAGTACGGCTTCAAGAGGATCAAGCTCGAACCCCATCATGGTGGTGCGATCATTGAGTTCACAACCGTGGAAGGTGCTGGCAAGGCTCAGTTCGCGCTTGAGGGCAAAGACTTCGAGGGAAGGAAACTGCGCATCGGTACTGTCCAGGACCTTAACAAGCAGAAGGGAGAGTGGAAGGCGAGCAACAGCTTCATCCAGCCAAACCGTGTCAACCGACCTACTGCTGCTCGCGGTGGACGAGGACGAGGAAAGCCCGGTCTTGGTCGCCCAGCTATACCGAAAGGTGCTACAACGACGAACGGCGAACCGAAGAGCAACGCAGACTTCCGCGCACAGTTCTTGAAGGAGCCTGCGAAGCAGGCAACCAAGGACAACGACAAAATGGAAGAGTAATGGCAGAGAATGGGAGTACGATCGCATGTCAAGGCCCTTACAGGGCCTGACTGGTGTTTATCAAGGCGTGGGATTCAACGGCCGCTTACGGTTCAACTGCATACTTTGGCGTTTGAGGATTGGCTTCCTATGGATCGGAGCCGGTATGGTTGGCTTTCGATGTCCTCTTTCCTCTTGGTCTGGTGCTGAGCACTGTGTATGTAGTATAATATAATGAGTGTAAACTATATGTGAGTCTGATCTGCTTCACTGTGATGATGACATTCCTACAAAATTTACATGCCCTTAGACTGGACCTTCTAATCTTGCTAACATGTACGCACAAAGCCTAATCGGTGGCCCATACATTACACAACAGCTCCGGGCCACGGGGTGGGTGCCAGTCAGCCAATCAACCCAGCTTAGCCGATATGCTGTCGGGCAAGATGTGTGACAACAACGGACAGGGTGCACGAATGTGTAGCGGAGGGATCGATACGCGTGAGACGAGGTCGCATGGGTTGTGATCGCGATCAGAAATTCGAAAGCACAGTAGTTAGGCATATCTAGTGCGTCCAACAAGTCAAGCGGAGTCTCTTGAAATCAATACCAAATCACAATGGAGAAAATGTTGTGTCATGGTCGCGTCAAGCTGACATCAAATTAACTGTATGCTCCAAAAAGCTTCATGCTGAGTCTGGTAAAGAGCTGATAATAAGTAGAAGGAAATGACGCGCTTTTCTTGCCTCTCCTACTATGCAAGTTCCGCTGATGTCCTGTTGGACTCAACCCAGGTATGAATTCAGAATATGTTCTTGACGCCAAGAGTTCGCTGAGGCCTCATGTTCCGCGTATCCCGTTGCTCTCAAATATCACCTGCTAGTTCCCTAATCCTAATCCTCTCCTCCAGATCTGCCATTGTCTCTTTCATGAGCGAGAGGACACATGCTGGGAGTGCTGTCTTGAATTTGCTTGCCTTGACTATCTCGGCTGCGATGGCCTTGGAGTCGCTTGCGGAGACGCCAGTTCTATGGCCGAAGAGCAACTCTTCTAGTTCGGTGATCTCGGAGTTGTGCTGCTCACTCTTGATGCTCTTGATTCTCTTGATCTTCTTGGTGCTCTTGATGCTCTTGGTGCTCCTGGGCTGCGGTTTAGTGATCCTGGCTGGCTTGGCTCGCTTGCTCTTAAATTCGTTTTGCTTTCTTTTGAGCTCTTCCGAAAGAGAGTCTCGGTACTTGTTCTTGTAGATCGTGAGCGCGGTCTGAACCCACCATTTGTTTCTCCGCAGTCCGTTGAGCAAATGGTCCTTCTTGATTTCCTTAGCCTTAACTACGGTGGACTGCTTGTCCTTGATCGGAGAGTTGTAATAAGATGGTTTCAACCTGAAGTTATCCTTTGCTGGCATCTTGTTGATGTGAACAGCCATCCAGAGCTCATTGCCTGTGACGAGGTCCTTGGCGACAAGCATTCGCTTAGAGACATCAGGAAAGACGTAGTCCTTCGGGTCCTCACTCGGCTGTTCACATTATTGTCGAGCCCAAGCGTAACTTCTTGAGTGTATCTTACGTGGTAGTCCTTTGGATCTTTGTAGCAAGCGACCATCTCCTTTTCGATGTTCGGCATCTTGTTGGCTTCCCTGTTGGCTCTTTCTTGTTGGCTTTCTTGTTGGCTTTCTTGTTGTGTTGGGATTATTTTGGCAGGTAGTGATGATGGAGATAAGTAGGAATTGACGAGAGATGTTATTGCGATGGTGTAAGAAGGATGGAGCTGAAAAGACCACGAGGTTTCATTTATCACGATCTAAGGGTCCGAGGTGAGAGAGATGAGGTATATCGCACTGGCTTCCCACGTGGACAGGTAGTAGAGGGTTTCGTCCGGAGTAAGAGTCTACATAAATGGCGAGATTCTCCGTCTCCTGCAGTAACTAGTGCGGTGCGGATTGTGACGGACGCGAGCTTGCTACTTGTTACATCCCGCGATGCTTGCGCCTACCTAGGTAGGAGGATATGTGAGACGCATTCGAGTATTTGCAGCTGTGATGTGATTTGAGGGTAAAGCCCCTGAGTGGCCACTGGATACTTAAGTTGCGGGTTATCGTAACAAGGGACGTGAGACAACCTCGGAGAGCTTACCCGCAATTGGGGAAGGCACGTGGTTGTGACTGCGCGCTCCCGGTCGTGAGCAACAGCACCCGGGGCCGTTCCTGCCCCACTTCTGGCAAAGAGATGTCGCTTGTCGCATCGCTATACTCTTCGCACTTTCTGCATACTTCCCAAAGATAGATGCGGATGAGATGGCGCGTGACTGTGAAAACGGGCTTGGATCTGTGCATTCACTCATTTACTTATTGACCGAAGATGGTCGGCTGGCTGCCGAATCTGTCAGAACCCTCTGATTGTGATGAGCTTGAGCCCTGGTACATCACGCAGACTATGCGTCACTGGCATCACAGAAGCGACGTGTAACATGGACAGTGAAGAGATCGTGAGCGAGTGACAATTTCATCATTCATGTCGGGGTTGAGCTGACAATTAGACGGCAGTCTGAAGATCTCAGACGCGTTGAGATGGAGCTAATGATTGCATCTCCAAATTCGAGTGCCCAAGGACGGTATTAAGCGACGGGGGCAGCAGCGCCAACGACAGTCTTGCCAGACATGGTCTCGAGACGCTTGAATCCTCCATGCTGCTTCACACCCTCCTGCAGCTCAACCATCCTCTTTTGGTCGCCAGTAGGGTCATCAGCTTCCTCCTCGAGTCCCCAAGCCAAGTACTCATTGGTGTAGTTAGGCTTGAAACTGTCATCCAACACACCGAGCCTCTTGCCGTAGCGGGTGACCTTCTCCCAGTCACGCTGTACGTTCTGAAGATCGGGACTGAAGTATGCAAAGCTGCGCTCGAAGATCTTGCGGTTGGTAGGCGTGTTCATAGCCGACTTGAAGTTGCAGAACTCCTCCCAGGCTTGGTCGGGAGACGCGAGGACGAAGTCAGTCGCACGCTTGCATGCGCGAAGGAAGGCGCGCACTTTCTCGGGGTTCTGCTCGATGAAAGCGTTGTTGCCGATGTAGAGGATGCTGCAGAAGCAGCAGCAGCCGAGTTGAGCGAGCTCATCGATGCGCAGCATCTTCACTTCGTCGCGCGAGCGGTTCTGGCTGACGAGCCACTCTTCAAGCTCGACCATCTGGACATTCTCGAGACCGATGCCGGCGTCGATTTCGCCAGTGATGATGGAACGGGTCACGTTCATGCCAACACGGACGGCTTGGTAGTCGTCGGGTGACATGCCGTAGTGTGCGGTGAGTTCGTCGAGCTGGATTTTGCCAAACTCGCCGACGTAGCCGATCTTCTTGCCCTTGAGGGTGGTGAAGTCGGGAGTGATGCCGGACGATGTCAGGTACACGACACCAGTAAAGGGCTCATTGAGGAGAGAGCCAACTGACTGGACCGGAAAGCCACGGGCGGCGGCGGCGAGCGTATGGATCATCGCCTTGAAGCCGAGATCGACCTTTCCAGATCCGATGATCTCAGTGACATCCTGCGATGGTAAGCTGATGAAGTAGGACAGCTAGTATCGACCATACACTAGGATCATTGGGCTCAAGAAGAGCGACCTTGATGCCTTCATCCTTGAAGTATCCCTTGCTCTGAGCAAGGTAGAGGGGAGCGTGGTATGGCGTAGCGTGCCTGTTCACCGTCAGCATACACCCCATCCAATCTAGATGCAAAGCGCACCAGTTGGTCAAGAAGGTAATCTTATCAGTCGACATCTTGACTTGAGTACAGAAGCTGAGCTAGTCAGTACGCCAACATAGTGGGGAAGGGGTCATCATGAAGCAGCAATAGTCCTTCGCGCTGGAATTATCCAGATCAAGTTTGAACGGTATGATCTCAGAACAAGCCATCAACGATCAGGCCCCGGGGAGGGACCTGATCCGCTAATGACTTGAACACCCGCCATGCTTTGCTTCTGATGGTTGAGATGGGTACCTGATGATGCCATGCCGGGCACCTGTTACTTGACCGAGATGCAATTCTGGTGTGCGAAGAGCGAGGCCAAATAGGCTTTGCTTTGCTGGTTCGATGATAGCATCGTACCGAAGTGGGTTGTATTGGGTTGGTGAAAGCTGGGTATGTGTGATTGGAAAGAGTTGAGGAACAATTGAGGACAGAGCTTGAGACCACGGCTAGAGCCGGATACTTATACTTTACTTCCCATACTGTCGACTGAGGTCATGCATGGATAAATTGCTCACTGTAGGTGCATGTGTTGGGACCTGGTGGGGCAATGAGGGGTACACTTCCCGCGCGGGTCAAAACACATCACTGAACCACAACACGCGTCTCACCATGCAGACGGGATGTCTTGGAGCAATCTTCATTCGTTCAGATTCAAGTACGGATTATCCGTAAGCCGTGGCTCTAACTTGGGTGGTCGGTCTAGGTTTGCTGAACCACGTCCTCGGGAACTCACACGACGATCTTTTCTTTCTCCAGCGAACGGAATACTCCATCGAGATAGCTGCGTCGCGCCAAAACCAAACGAGTAAGAAGAAACATTTGTCTACTGCTTCAATTCCGTGAGCCGATGTTTTACGTGTCATTGAGGCGACAGCCAATGACACGTACTATGACCAAGACCTCCGCTCCGAATATCGGGAGTATGATGAATCGTGAGTATCTTGCAGATGTACGGAGTTGTGGATTGGAACAAATTGGTTGGGACGCATTGGGATGCCATCGGAATTATAACGCTACCATTCTTTCTTGCAACCACCCGTTTAAGCCCTGCCACATTGAGCTATCCATGTCTTTATCTTCTAATTTCTGGCAGAAGTGCCTCAAAGCCTCGCACCTCTGCTTAATCCATTCTATCTTCTCCTCTTCGCGACCACCCTTCATCTCTCCAGCAATAGCGTGTGCTACCTTTGCTTCGCATACTGGACACAGATATGGCGGTTGTCTTACATCTTCCTTCATGCTACCTGTACCCTGCATATTACAAGCATAGTATACACAATGGTCGAGCGCGAAACAATGTCCTAGCTCATGTGACACTGTACGCGCGAGACGTGAGAACCAAAGCGCCTGGACTTCCTGCACCTCTGATGTAGGCTTATATGCTGTTGCGGCCTGGGTAGCCGCTTTCATCGCCCCACTCTTGCTTAATTCTTTCTGTTTCTTCGTCGCAGGTTTTGCCTTTACATCCTCTACAGCACATAATTCATCGACAAAGGTTTTGCAATGACTCCACGGCCACATGTGGTTTCGGTCGATCTCCTCTCCTTTCCGTTCATCCAGTATTGGGTTATATCGCGCAGTCTGCACGACAGCCACTCTGCTGCCTCCATACGCCCTGCCACAGCAGAAATCGTCATCTTCGGACTCGTAAATGTCGTGGTCGACTAGAACGACCATCGCATAAGCGTCATCAGGCAGAATTGAGATGGCTGTGTCGAGGATGTCGTCCAGATTCAGTTGAGCAGGGAAAGCAGTGTCCGGCGCAGGGCGAACGCGGATTCTGGTACACCGATCTCCATGTGATAGACCGATGTACTTGGGCAGAGCGACACTTCGACAACCCATGGCGGACTTCGTGTTGGAGCCCCACGATGTCCAGGTCAATGGCGTGGGGAACAGGCGAACAGGCATATCGTGATAAAATGCAGTAAGATAGTCGACAAAGTGATCTGCAGATGGAGGAGATGGTCCGGCTTTACCCTCGCCTTTGACTTCATCAAAACTGGTTGGTACTACCCAGTGCCTCATAAAGTCCGCCTTGAAACTGATCCCAGGCACTTGCACCACATACAACTTGTTCCTGCTTGGCGCCGATGAAAGTTTGTTCCTGCACTCCTCGTCCAACCATTCCTTCGTACTCTGCGGTAAAGAATCTGGATCATAGTTGAGCTCATCGTGAGGTAGGACTAAAGGAGCGGGAAATGTCCCAATGGGATGATCCTTGACACTCTTCGGCGCTCTTCCAGATGTCGTTTCTGCTGCTACGCGTGCTGCGGCATCCGGCTGTTCATATCCAGCTAACTCTGCGAAGGGTGACGGGTTTAGTTGTAGAATGGTGTGCTTGCATGCCATAGCGGGTGTCAGTACGAAACGAAATGAAAAGAATGAAAGAAGAAGGAATAAGGATAGGGACTGCTGCCTGGATGGCGGCTGGTTGTCTTGGACGCTAGGCAAACCCCCGCGATTCATGTCTACACCTCGCTTCATGCCGCCGGGTCATCGTGCCTGATTCTCTCCTTCATCCCCTGTACACCTTCCACCATACTTTCACCACAGCGGGTCGTTCCTTCCCCAGTATAGCAAACTTCCCCCAATAGCCAAGCTGTTGAAGATGCCAACGTAGTGACCCGCGATCTTGTCCTTCGCTCCGTACGCGCTGACAATCACCGTATCCGCGACGGTTGCGACTAATCCCGCCATGACCGCAACTCCCAAGCTCCTCCTGTCTCGCAGGACCAGACCAAAGACTGCTAACAGAACGCCATTCTGAACGTTGCGCGCTGCTATTGCTGCAACTAGGGCTTTCTTGGTCTTCTGATCCTCGTCGTAGGTGCTTTCGGTTTTGCTCGAGCGTTTTGCGGATGCGGGCGATGTGTCGGACTCGGCCGAGATGGGCAGACCGTAGCCATCAGCGAAGAAGGATGGGTTGCGTAGACCTATGATTCCGAAAGGGACGATTTCGAGGGTTGCGATGAAGAGCGCGAGGCATTCCGCTGGCGGAGGTAGGTGGTGGAAGAGGTTGCGGGCTTGAGTTGTCATGGTGGCGGACTGGTATGACCGTCAGAATGGTCTCGGAGGGAGTTGCAGCGCTGCAAGGCTTGAGGAACGAGACGAGACATGGTGTAATCTTATAGATATGCTTGCCATCGATGCAGGAGAGATGTAGGTGTATGTAGACTTCCTCCAACTCCCATTGGCTGACGAGTTCGGACTTCGGCTGCGGGGATCGCAGGGCTGTCGCGTCGACGCGTCTTCCGCCCCATCGCTTCGCGCCTCGTAGCTTCTACAATGAGTGGACACCATTGTGAAGATAATTTAAGATTACTACTTCGATTCCCCTGACAGAATCTCGCGAGCAAGCCTACCTGACACGCGTTACAGTGAAGACAGGTCTTCTGTGGACCACGCCCGGGCGATACCGGCTTTTCCTCCACACCCAGTGAGCGCGCTACAATGCCGAATGAAAGGGAAGATGATCCCACGAAAAGAGAAGCGTGAATGGAAATAATGAGTGCTCCGAAAGAGATGGATAGTGAAGATCGACTTCCGTCAACTCTGGACTTGGAGTGCACAGGGAAACAGTGTCGTTGAGGCATCATGGCTGAAAGCATACTGGGAGGCGTAAATGGGCTATCGCTCCTTCACTCGGTGGATTTGAGTGGGCATATTGGCTCGCAGTAGCGATTGTCTTGGGATTGGATGGGGTTCCTTCCTTGGAGCGGATAGGCACATGGGAAACTCGTCTATCCGCGGTCTCGTCCTATCAGAGGTTCGTCATCTCAAATATCAGCGCACGTAAACGCATCGCTACCATGATTTGCCCGAGATTGTGAAAGACTTTGGAAGCGGTACAATGCTTGTTTGCATGTGCGGTGAAACTAGGTTCAGCTTTTGACAGCTCGACTGCGCCTGCTTTCTGTCAAATTTTCTCTCATGTGGCGTTCTTTCCTTCCAAGGTTGTCTTCACTCGACCCTCAACACCACGGAAAGCTTGGACTCGCCTCGCATACTTCCGCCTTCACACGCACCTCTCAATTTTGCTAGCCGCTCCCCTCCCAGTACATAATCGGCCCTCCCTCACCTTTCTTCTTACTCTCCCCCACACTCGCTCCTCAACTGCACAACTACAGCTCTTGCGTTGTCAAGCCTCAGCAGTCACAATTTCCTCTCGAGCCTGCGAAATTTGAGCCTTCCTTAGGCGATCAGTGTCCACCAAGCGAGCTTCGCCCTCACTTCCGCCTCCCACACGTCACGAACCGCGCCCCGACCCCCGAATCCCACACGACCCGTCAAGCGATCGCACAAGATGGCTACGGCTCCTTCCTTCTGGGCTGCTGGCGGTAACAAGATCAAGTCTGCCGAGTCTCCGAACCCCAAGATCGCAGAGGCGCCTCCCAAAGCGAAACCAGACCCTCAACAGAAGAAGGGTCTCGTACTGAAGGGCATGACCAACGGACAGACTACCAATGGCGCATCCAACGTTACCTTCCCAAAGGCCGCCGTTGGTAAGAAGACCAACTGGGCCGATGAAGACGATGATGATAACACCTTCATCGCCGAATTCATGAGCCAGGATCCGAAGATCGCTACCCTCGAGACCACCATCGCCCTGAAAGAGGAGCGTGTCAAGGAGTTGGACGCACTGGTCGAAACCAAGACGCTTCGTATCGCGGAGCTGGAAGGCGCAGTCCAAGACAAGGACACCCACATTGGCGATCTCGAGACGGAGATCCAAAAGAAAGACGTCGAAATGGAGAAGCTTAGGAAGATGAACGGCGACCAGCTCGCTCACAACCAGGAGCTTATGCGCGAGGCTGGAGAGAAGGACAGCCAGATCAAGAACCTGAAGGCCGAGCTTGAAGAGAAGGTTTCGACGATTGGTAGCCTTAAGGAGGCGAAGAAGGCTGCAACCATTAGCAGTCTCGAGCAGGAGTCGGCCGCACTCGTCCCCGTCCCCACAAACGATGAAGTGACTACTGAGGATGCACCCAAGGACGGAATCTCAGAGAGCACAAAGTCTAATGGCACTGAAGTCGTTACCGCGACGGAGACCAAGACTAAGAAGGCCGCATCTGTGGCTTCCGATTCTGATAGCTTTGAGATCGTCGATGCTCCCATGACTGAGGAGGTCAAGAAAGAGAAGCCTGCGAACGTCGTCACTAAGCAGTCCGAGGAGACCGAAACGGCAAAGAACACCAGCGGCCCGTCGCTCGTCTCATCCTCATTCCCCAACTTCGTGACGAAGGAGACCCTGAAGGTCGTTCCTCCGGCTCCGAAGCCCAAGACCCTGACTTTTGGCATTGACATGTCCAAGTACGGGAAGAAGCCAGCCCCGTCTGCTGCTGTGAAGACCCCACCTACATCGTCGCCCGTTGCCGAACTGAACGGCCATACCACACCCTGGGGCCACTCGTCCCGGCAGGCGCGCGACAAGACCGGTACCATGCCAGAGCTCAACCCCGCGGCTGACATCCGTCACATGTCGCACGGGCAGCGCGTTGTTTTCGGTAACGGTCCTGAGGTTATTGTGAAGCTTGGAGAGACCAAGCTGGCTACCATTCCAAAGTACGTTTTGATGCAGTGCTCAGGCAAGGCCTACAAGCACTTCACTGCCAATCCCGACGCAACCTCTTGGAGCCTTCCCGCCGGCTCGATGGACGCCGATGCTGCGACGGCGCATCTGAAATGGATGGACGAGATGACGTACCAGAGCAGGGTTTACTCTGTTCGTCTCCAGACTGAGACGGTATATGATAAGAAGAATCTGCATATCTGCCGCGCTGCGCGGGTTCTAGGTCTCAACAACACCTACGTGGCCCAGTTCACCAAGCAATTCTGCGACCGGATCCGTGCCCAGGACGTGTCTTTCGAGTTCATGGACCTTCTTTGCCAGTTGGCTTACCCGGAGAACGACCCCGTGTTTGACTGCATGGTTCACAACCTTGTCAACCAGAAGAAGGTTGGCAACGCCAAGGGCGCGGCCGATTTGGAGAAGCTGATGGCCAAGCATCAGTCCCTGAAGGAGAAAGTAGAGAAGATCGAGAAGCGGATCGGAGGTCGTCCACGCAAGACTTGGAACTCCCCCGAGGGCAGTACTCGCGGTGGAAGCAACGACCGCAGCGGCAGCAAAGGTGGAAACCGTGGCAAGTCAGCACCACGCAACCCGCCTGTTGCACCAGCGCCTGGTAACAAGCCCGTTACTCCTGCGCCGGGTGACGCGTTGTTCACCACCCTCCACTAGGTCAGCCTAGTGACATGACGCGGTGTACGGGAGGGAGGGATGGAGTACACCGTGGAAAAGAAAGACGGATGATTGACGACTTCAGCGACGCGAGCGCATTCCAATGCGTTCAAGCGAGCGAGATTACTGTCTGCTCTGTAGTTCTTTGCATCTACAGCGGGGAAAAATGAGTATATAGAGCGACAGCTTGATTCATTGATAAGACAGTATAGGATGTCTGGGTGTATTTTCAGCGCCATCAAGGAATGTCAGGTAGTTATAGTTGGTAATGTCATCGATGGACACAAACATCTTTCATACGTGATCGAAACTATGCAGCAAACTCGTGAACAGGTCTCATTGGGAGTTGTTTGTGTCATTGATTCCATCGTCGTAGCCGAGAGTATCTTCTAACATCTACACTCTACACCCTTGCGACTGACACAAAGGTACTTGACGCCCTTGTACGGCGTGACGCCACTGCCCAGCCCTTTACTCTTCTTCTGATCTACGTTCAAACTCTCTACCTTGATCCCACTCGGCAGCCAGCCTTTAACGGAGAAGCTGATGGTCGCGCAGCTCGGCATGAGGACTTTATTTGCCTGTTTGATCTTCGCATCGCTATCCGGCTTGGGTGCGCTAGACGATGAAGTCGCAGGTAAAGAGACCTGTGTGCCCTGATCATCATCGTAATCGTATGTCGATGTCGCGAACGATACAGGTCCACCAGCATCCAAGGCATCCTCCGCAGACGGATCGTCTTGGCCAATAACAGTCCCACGCAATGTAGCCGTCGCACCAACCCCTCCACCGCGGTCTTGAGACATGAGATTGTTTATCTCGCGACTGCTGATGCGCCATTCTATTGCCCTGTCTCCCGGCGCGTAGCCTGCATCTCCTGTTCCGCGCGCGACGCGTAGATCGGCGACGTTTCTGACGGACGCTGGAAGCGGGATGTGGATGGTCATTTCTTCGATCGCGGGGGCGGACGTGGTTCCTGTCGAGGAGGATACGCGTCCCAAGCTAGCTTTCGCCGCGCTGGGTTGGGAGGGCTTGTTTCCGCTGAAGCGTGGGTTGAGTTGGAGTTTGACTTCGAAGTCTGTGCCGGTCGGGCCGAGGGAAGGGTGGACGGATACTGTAGCTGGTATGTTTAGTTTTGGATTTGAAGACTTTGCGTTCTTCTCTGTGGAGAAGGCATCTAGTGCTGCAGAGCCCAGCAAGTCGACTTCGTACCCAGCGAGCACGAAGCGACCGTCCGGTGGTACGAACGAAAGTTCACCTGGCCTCGCTTTCCACTGGTTGAGTCTGACACAGGGATGGAAGACGGGGAGTGAGACTGCGTTTTGTATGCCACCTGCGCATCCCAAGTGTAGTATGAGATCAGGTATCCCAGAGACCTTGGCCGTGAAAGCGATTGTACCGTTGGCCATGGCGGCTAGAGGGCGACCCGATGGTGATAAGGTGACCTCTAGTGTTTCCACGATATCCACATACATCTCATTGCTCGTATGCCTGACATTCGCTCTTCTCCACGGCACCGGTGAGCCTGTCTGACTTGAGGTCGGTGATGGTCCTAGCCGTGGGCTTGCTCTTCCACCGCCTAGACCAAATGCTCCGGTAGCAGAGGGTGCGAGCGAGCTTGGTGTCGAAGAAGGCAGTCCCACTCCTCCCAGTAGGCTCTTGAGTAAATTCGGCGCTTCGACGACATCTCTCAGCGCGTTCGGTTCTGTGTTCGCGATGATTCCGCCATCCACCATCTCGCTGAGTAGTTGCGCGACGACATCGTAGTTTCCCTCGATCTTGCTCGCCAGTAGTGGTGACCCTAGGAAGTCTTCGAGGACGTCGGTCAGGCGGTGGAGGAAGGTGAGGACGGCGAGGGGATCAGTGTCTGCCGATGCCGGGCATAGGAACAGAAGTTGGTCTTGTATTATGCTGTATAGCAGCGTCGGCGGGTTGGTGTTGGGCAGATATATCAGCGGCGGCCGGGGGGCGGGATGCGCGAGATAGAGAGGCAGGAGGACGGAGGATGGCGGCGGGCGGTTGAGGTATGTGTGCTCGAGCAGTGGAGTGCTGAGGATGTTAGCGACGGATGACGTAATCGCAGGAATAGACGCGTCTTACTTGTGCTCATCAAAGATGTAGAGAGCTTCGATTGCGCTCATGGTGGGAAATGTCAGCTGCGAGCCATGCGCGTGGGAAGACGTGAGGTCCGCGTCGTGGGGCAGTTTGGGCGGGGAGCTGCCGGAGCTAGAGAGATCCCTGCATGGCTAGCATGACATGCAGACTTCTGGTCGCAAGATCTTTCCACGATAGAGCCAGCGTGTTGCATCTGAGAAAGTCGCGGTGCTGTCTGTCTAGCGTCGCGATAATGGCACTGCCACCTCCTTCCGCGCCGACCTTCAAAGAGGCTCTCAAGAATGACAGAGCGGAATTTGAAGATTGCACTCCATGTCGCGTAGTCGGTATTGTACTCTAGAACACACTGTATCTACCTCAGTACTGACATGGTTGTTAGGGAGCGCTACATTTCTGGGCCTCGGCGCCTTCACGTACGTCTCGGGCCATTCACAGATCAAAGCCAACGAAGCCGCGATACGAGCCAGCAAAAGCATGTTCGGAATGCGGAGTAGGGGAATGGCAATAACAGGAACAAGTGCCGTCATGGTGGGCCTGGGGTTATATCGGTGGTTTGCATAATGGGAGGGATACAAGGAGACGCTTGAAGGTCACAAGCCTGGAGCGTATACCTAGGTATTGTAGGTGGAAAGACTTGAGTACAAACTTGGGCATGCATCGGCGTTTGGGAGTCACATCTTCACGAACGAGATGAGTCACTGCACACGGCATACAACAGTTGAGGACATGTAATGATGGTATTAACACCCTCCAAAAAAAACGCTATCTACTTCCACCCCCGAATGATGTCCCACCCCGTAGAAAATGCGAAAAGGTATATAGCCTCCGAAATCAATAACACCACAGAATGCGTCTAGTAAGTCTCCCCCAATGCGTATGAAAAATGATCCACTAGCCCTGTGCGCCGTCTGGGTATGATGCAAGTAGTCGTGATTCGTCGAACAGTCGTTCGTGTCATTGCCTGGAGTTCGATGACAGGCCCTCAGGCTTCGAGCTGCGGTGCTATGACATGCGTCCGCGCTTGGATCCTCCGCCTGATGAGCCGTCTCGCCGGTCGTTGAAGCCATCGACGTTGAAGAAGTCGTTCATGAGTCGTCTCTTTTGCCCTGCACCGTTGCCTAGTTGGAAGAGGTTCTGGGCGGCGGATCGTTGGAGGTTTCGGGTAGACGAGCGGTTCGTGGGGCGGCGAGAAGCAGGGAAAGCGCGGCGGGCAGCAGCAGACATGTCGGCGGCGGCGGTTTCATTTGGTGAATCAGAGGGTAGAGCTTGTGCGGCAGAGAACTCGAAGATGTGGTGTAGCGGCGACATGTCGGCCTCGGTCGTAGAAGCTTCCATCTGGAGGGGCGGCGCAGAGTCAGAGCGTGTTTCCGTGACCGTCGTGGGTACCAGTGTGCGTGAGTCGTCCATGCTGTGGGTTCGGTCCATGATGGGTGATGAGCTTCTGGCGCGGTTGTTGTCGAGGTATTCGTCGTCACTGTCGCTGCTCGTCTGCTTGGGCAAGCTCCCGTCTAGTCGTTCCGTCGCCCACTGCCGTATTCGCCAGCCCTCGCCGTCGCCCACACCAATGTTCTCCTTGTCGAGGAAGGTGAGCAGCTCATCGAGAGCCTCCTGGTAGCCGTCGGTACGGGCCCTGTCGATGTCGGCGAGCGCGGACTTGTACAGGTGCGTCACATTGAGGGCAGCGGTACGGAAGGACTGGTGCACGTCGTGCTGCCCTCTCGTCTTGGGCAGCGACTTGTTGAGGCTGCGCATCGAGTCCATGGTGGTTGTATGAGCTGTTGGCGGCAGGTGCGGTCGTGTCAAATCTTTGTCGGGCTCCACTGCGTTGTGGCCGGTGTTCGGCACCCGCGGGCGATGCAACCGTGATGGGGAGCGTGATGGAAGAAAAAGAGTAGATGAAGCAGATGAGGTGAACGACAGTGTTGTTCACTCGGAAGGAGCGTGGCTTCTCGTCGCTCGCTGGGTTGAGGTCGTGCGCTGCTCCTGGACTCGCGGGGTTGACGCTATCACGGGCTCTTAGCTCCGGGCTAGGCCCTGACAGCATGTGCCACCCTTCACCCGTCCCCGTCAACATCCTTGATTCACAGCCCCAGCTTCCAGTCAGCATGCCATCATGACTTCGCACCTGGAACGCCTTCCTGTCGAGCTGTTCGAGCTCGTTGCTGCCACTCTTAACCTCTCGTCTCACAAAAGCCTTCGTCTTGCATCCAAGAGATGTCGCTTCCTCACCCATTCTGTATTTGTAGAACGCGCTTTCTCCCGGCTAAAGACTACTCTTGGACCACCCTCTCTCAACCGTCTCGTCAACCTGGTGCAGTCGCCTCATTTTCGTGGTTCTGTCAAAGTCCTACAGATCCAGCTCCTGACATCAGCGGAGTATAGTGTCCTCACTGCCATTAGCCGTGTCGGCAGGTTTCCGCCACCCAAACGATTTCCCAGGGTACCTGGCATCCAAGACAAAGATATCAAGGACGAAGCACCCACATTCACATATGTCGTGGAATGCGAGTATCCAACCCGCTTGTACGATGGCCTTGTTCGAGCATTGCGAGGCTTCACCAACTTGACGGCCATTCACTTCCATCCGAGGGGATCCCAGCTCGCGGAATCCAGCAGTCCTCTTTCCGCAACCGATTGCCTATTCCGTAGTAGATGCTTTCAGGTCGTCATAGATGCCATCGTTAAAAGCGAGGTCCGTCTGAGCGAGTTTCGTATGGCCAAGTGCAAGCGTGGGACTGCGTTACATAAAGAGGCCATCTTACCATTCTCGGCACTCCAAATACCTACGCAATCTCTGAGGACACTACATCATCGCTTTTCGCAACTCAAAGTTCTCACTCTCTCTGCTTTGTCTAGAAACGATGACCTTTCTCGCACACCTGGTTGGCAGAACGGGGTCGGAAAAATCATTGCCACTGCACCAAAGTTGAAAAGCTTCACGATGAGTCTAGATCGGACTAACTATGCCGCAGCCATCGTTCACCACATGGTTGCTTCTTGCGCTTGCCTTAAGCTAGAAGTACTCCAGCTCATGTTCTGCGCATTGCATGGAGACGACCTAGTCGCTATTATCAGAAGCCAGGCCGCGACATTGCGACGAGCTGTATTCTCTGACCTTCGCTTTGTGACTGGCACTTGGTCGTCATTATTACACGCTCTAAAGGAGTGTGGGAATCTCGAACATCTGCGCTTCAGCTCGCACTCGGGGGCAGAGCATCCAGTTCGACGTCTGGACGTGGCCCGAGGACATCGTACAATGACCGATATGGTGGATGAGTTCATCGCCGTCTTCGATACTACAGCAGGTGCTTCTAATTCACAAGAAAGTGGCTTCGTTGACCCTCATCATCACGCTGGTCTGTCATTGGCCAGAGCCAGTACCACAGTACCAAGTGAATGAGAGACTCACCCACGGTTACCAAACTACACCACTCTGCTCTTGCGTTGTCATTAATCAACGTCCATTCGGCTCACTACTATCACAGTCCATCGGGTGATATTCTGGTTTCCACCCACCTCAACGCAACACGACTTGATACACTCCTCAACCGTACCGGCCACGGTCAACATGACCTCTGCATCTCAACTCTCGCAGTCCGATGTCCGCCTATTTCTGCAACAGCTTGAAGCCAATCCTGTCGACGTGACCAAGTGGAACCCGATGATGCGCTTTTCGCTGCTTCGCGGTGGGCTCATCGACTTCACAATTTATGGCCGTCGCGTAGGCTCAGCGCCACGTTTTGCTTTAATGGCTGTGTCTCAAAAGGCGCTCGCATTCCTCGTCAAGCACCCTCGCGCACCAGCAATCAACTTCACCTTCGACGTACCCGCGGTACAGCTGCGAGGTGAAAATGGCCAGGCAAAACTCGTCCCCGGGAAGGGCAAGATGCGCGAAGCTCAGATCGGGATCCATGAAGCTGCTCTTGTTGCGATCTCACAGTGGCTTACAGCCTTGTGCACACCCACACTGATGCCTCTTGCCGGAGCAAGCTTCTCGATCGAGACGTGCATCCGCTTCATCTGCGTTCACACTCTACACGCGCCAGAGTATGTTCAGCACCTGACTGACAAGTTTATTACAAACGCCGGTAAGCTTGCGCTGAGCTCGCAGCAGGTTACAGAGCTTGTCAGGTCGTGCCGCGGTGACAACGACCAATTGCTCATGGGGCTTGCGGAGAAGTTGATTGGGAAAAGACTCGACGGCCAGCTCGCTCCTAAGCAACTGAGCAAGTTCTTGTGCAAGGCAGGCAACGAATTACTGAAGAAGAAGGTCGAGACCCTGGAGAAAGAGATGGGCTTCACGACTCAAGGGACGGGCCCGAAGGCGGCATTGCAGTCCTGGACTGAGGGATTTCCTTCCTCATTCCCCACAGCGGCAACCCGTTCCGCGGGGCGGATTCATGAGATCAAAGATCGTGAGATAATTGAGATCGACAAAGACGTAATGGAAGTGGATGCAGACGAGTGGCAAGTACCTCCTCGTGCGAAAGAGGAAGCGGCAGCGTCGAAGAAGCGGAAATTGACGCACAACAAGGATGGGACGAAGTAAGAAATTGTCAAGCTGGAGAGGGGATTGACCGGTTCGATCTGAAGGCGCTGTGGGCTGTGACCTGGACATACCAGTTGATCTCTGATCGTCGACTGGGAGTACTATACAGGTCTAGCACGATGCGTTGATGTCAATCTCTAACGATGGGCTGCCTGTAGAGATCCTAGGTATACGAAAGAAATTCTGCCCTTCAAACTGAAATGGAAAAAATACTACTGTCTGCTGATGCGCTTACGGGGCTAGACTATCGCGCATTGCCTGGCGGGCTTATACAGGTGATAACTAATACATCCTATCTCATTTGACCTCCGCTCGTTCGTGAACGACCTAGATACCGGTCAGTCCCCACCGACTAAGATGATGGCCTCGATTCGGCACACACCACCGAGCAAGATGTCTACACGAACATGCAGTTGCTCCACAACGCTATCGCCACCACAAAAGCTTGATCTCACATCGATCTGCGTCGCTTCAACCATTCCGACATCTAGCGAGAACATGCATGCATCGGAGCTCTAATGAGTGGGTAGTGGGGTAGCGCTGACCGGAACACCAAGGTTTTGCCGGCAGGACGCCTCGCATTCGCCTGCGTCTGCGCAGGTAGCACAGTACCGAATACTTGGGAATAGATCACTCTACTCCAGGGTCTGGCTGAATCTGTGTATGAAGGAGCAGGGCCTGCATGAGATGGAATCGGGATAGAATCGCTGGTAGAACCCAATCTAATTATGGAACCGTGTAGTAGCGCGCTGCGGGCGAGCCCTGACGTCTTGTCAAACTATCGCGAAATGCCTCGCCGTGTCAGCAACGACCCTCAGACCTGACAGTACGCACTCAGAATCTCATCGTGCCCAAACGAGACGACGAAAAAACGAATTCGGCTCTCCATGCTGAGGTCCGAGCAGACTGTGCGACGAATGCACTGCTTCTGGAAACATTCTGTGGATCACCCTTGTGCCGATGCTGTCGATCTCACGTCGGGGATTTTGAGCACCGACAACAACACAGCGAAAGCGCCAAGATCAACATTCCACAACCGCGAAAACCTTGAAGCCACTTGTCAGCGCCAGCGCTGAAGATACGTCTATCACACCTGTCAGGGTCCGGGCCTTGCTGTAGCTCGAGATTAGTAACTGGGAACGTGTTCCGGTGCGCGATACTAGGCAGGAAGTCGCATGTAGCGCGAGGCCGCCAACGGCTTACACGACCCCCCATCCACCAATGCCGTGGACCGGAATCGTCAGATCTTAGAAGTGGGTACGGCTCGAATCGGTCAGAATGGATACAAGAGATGCAGAGGGTGAGGAACTGTAGATTGCCGGTGGGTAAGATCGCTGTTTAGTGTTTATCGAATTTCCTACAGTTTTGCGCGGATGCGTCGGTACGGCTGTCATCACCATCGGTCTAATTTTGATCGCGACCCATCTCACGGTCAGCCGTTGAGAGCGGCGAACGTTGGTGTTTGGGTATATATTTCTTTGGAGTTTCTCGAGTTTGGTTTCGTCAGGCTCAACAGTTCAGCACGGTTTCTTCTTTCTTTCTTCTTCCAAATTCGCTAGCCTTGCGTTCATATACTGGTATCATTACGATCGTTGAAGTCGGATCTTTGAGCAACACAACACTATCTCCAAGGACCTTCGCTACTTCTCCAACATGCGTTACTCCGCCATCACCCTCGTTGCCCTCACGGCGACATCGTCTTCAGCTTTCTCTCTATGGCCTCGCCAAAGCTCTAGCTGTCCTTCCGTCTGGACTGCCGTCGCCACCGAGCTTCAAGCCGACTTTGCTGGCTGTGGCGCGGATGCTCACCAAGCCCTCCGTGCCCCCTTCCACGACTGCATCAACAATGGCTGTGACGGCAGTCTCGTTCTTACAGACGAGTGTGGAAGATCAGAGAACGCCGGTCTCTCAGCTATCTGCACGAAGCTCAAGGACTGGAGCGACAAGTACCAAGTCAGCGCAGCAGACATGATCCAATTCGCCGGCGCACAAGCAATCGCAGCCTGCCCGCTCGGCCCCAGAGTGCAAGCACTGGTTGGCCGCAAGGACAGCTCAAACGCCGCGCCTGTCGGGAGTGTACCCAGCAGCCGTGGCACCCTCGAAAGCATCTTGGGCGCCTTTGCTGCGAAGGGCTTCTCATCCGATGATGTCGTTGCCCTCATGGGTGCGCACAGTGTGGCAGTCCAGTTCCACGACGACCCATCGCAAGCTGGAAAGGGTCTTGACTCGACTCCTTTCAGATACGACAACACCTTCTACCAAGAGACCAAGGACCGCAAGGCCCCTTACAGTCTCCAGAGCGATCTTCTCATGTCAAATTCTTCAGAGGTATGTGTTCACGATCTCAACATCCTCACCTGATCCGTCACTAACTATCTTTGCAGACATCAACCACCTGGTCCAACTTCGCTGAAGACGCGAACAGCTGGTCTACCGCCTTCACTAGCGCGTGGGACCGATTCGCCGTCATTGGAAGCGACGCCAGCAAGCTCCAAGATTGCTCGAGCTTGGTCCCCAATGGCTTCGTGACCACGAAGAGGCAGGCGTTCAACATGGCTTTCACTAAGAAGATGAGCGCCAAGTTCAGGTTGTAAGAGACATGATAGCATATGTTGCTCAGTCTGGACACTAATAGCGATGGCATGGCGTTTGGGTATTAGACCATGGTGGTTCTGGGGCGGCTTTACTGTGCTTTCATGATACTCCGCAATACGTTGCACGTTAATGTTTACTTTCATTAATGTATTAAATCAATCTCATCTTACTCATACATCTTCCATTACTAGTTTGTACGCGCTCTTTACTGGAGATCCTCCCTCACCTTTACCATCACCTTTACCCTCATCCTGGGCACGTGTCATGCGAGCTAGCAATGAGCATGCAAGCGCGAAGATGCCGACTATATAAAGTCACCACATCTGCAACCTTACTACAATACCCTTCAGCTTTCCTGAATTAAATCTTGCAACCCAAGAAACATGGCGTAAGTGTGCACTACCCATGCAAAAGCTTCAACACTAATCGTCTAGTGGACGAAAGCGCCCAAGTGACATCAGTCAAGATAACGCCACTTCTGCTACCGCAAGCACGCGTGGGAAGCGGGCTCGTAAAGAGATCGTTAACGACAAGTCCCCTCTCCTCAATCTTCCTGGAGGTAAGGCTCATTTTCTGTTGCATCCAATGCGTGCCATTGACGAGAAGATAGAATTGAGGAACCGTATCTACGCTTACGTTGTAGCCGACACAAGAGAGTACAAGAAAGGCGAAACATGGAGCAGGAGCGGCAACAGATTCAAAAACTCTGTGCCAATCCACATGAAGTACAAATCTATCAAGGCAGCAAAGCGGTACAAGACGGCAAAGCAATGGGTGAAGGCTCACAAGAGGCGACATTATTTCGGACTGACACAGGCCTGTCACTTGCTGCGCCACGAGTTTCGCCCGCTTTATCTCCAAGAGCTTTCCTTCGACATCAATTCATGTCTTGGTGAATTCCTCGTCGTCTTTGGACAAGGCGACGAAAGCCAGGCTTTGGGCCGTCATATCATCAGCATCGTGGAGGTTCCACTGCCTCACGATGGTATAGACATCCTTCCAGCCTTGAAGAAGATGTCCAATCTCAAGATGCCACGTCTTCTATTCCGCTACGAGCTGTACTCGGATCGGAGGCCTTGGAACATCAACGACCTGTTCCTTACATTGGTATCGAACATGAACTCTCTGATCACACCTGTCCGAGGTAGTTTCGGTATCACCAGTATCACGATCTTCAAGGACCCAGAGCGTCGTGGCCCTGGACAGCGCAGTAAGCCAGCGCTACGGATGAACCTGGACAACAAAGACCTTTCCTCATGGAGCCAAGAGAGGAAAGAGAGCCACATGAAGTCTCTGATCAGGCATGCTGGTCTGGACGACATTGATGGCATTCAAACAACAATTTGCTGTGACGGTCGAAACTACCTGTGGTATGTTCCTGGCATCATATACGATGACTGGAATGCCTCAGAAATGCGATTGCTTTCGGAGGAGACTGACTAGAGATTTGCGTTCTGTCAGCGCCATGAAGGAACGACATGCATGGTTTGGGATAATGCGGGAATGATTGAAATTGCACTATCGTGCTAGGAGTTATGGTTGCGGAAAAGTTGAGCTCACGGATTTCTTTCGCAGCTCCTCACAGGAGTTGTGAGTCGCAGGAGATGGTCCTTGGGGCTTGTTTATTTGCCTTTCTATCCTTCTACTTGCAAAGAAAAGTCTGTCAGTGGTTTCCAATGCTAAATCAAAAACAAAATTGTCTCCGTGTGAGTTCACAAACGGCTGAGAATATACGCTGTCGTGTGACCTGCCACACATCAATAATCAGTGCAACGAATACCCCAACGGTATTTTAGGTCGATTGTAACAGTCCATCCCAAGAATTCCGCAATGGGTGTTGACGGTGTGACAGTCTTGACAAGTAAGAATTGGAAGTAGCTTCCTTACTGACCGCAATGACGTCATGCGCGCAAACCTGGTCGAGAAGGTCCGCGGCTGCCAACCTCAGAGGGAAGCTGCGAACTCCATCCACCCTTGTCACGACAGTGCCACGCCTACCATCTAAAGAGACAAGCTCTACCTACACACTAACACCATGACCGCACCTCCGTCCTTGACGTCTCCACCCGATACTCGCAGATCGCGCGAAAGCGACCTCATTCACGAAAACGACACGTCGTTCCCAACTATCGCGTTCTTGCCTGCAAGCTCTTGTCCGATCTTTCCAGGATATCCAGAAACCACTGCTGGAGATGACACAGTGCCCCAACTAACAGAACCGCTTCGTCAAGAATTGTCCTCAAAAGAAGTAATGCAAGACTATGATCACTGAGAATTCCGCGCGCTTACCGCCCAAAAGATGTGCCCGATGTCGCATCGGGTAATAGGTTCATTAGACCGTTTTGTAACATCAGAAGTACCATATCAATCCTCTCTCACCTTTACCTTCATTCCGACTATGTGCACGTGCCACACGAACTAGTAACAAGCATATAAGCGAGGAGAAGTCGATTAATATAAGCTGCGATCGCTGCAACCTACGCCACGATACGTTCAACCTTTCTATGTTTCTTGACGAGACGTCGCAACCCAACAGCCATGGCGTAAGCGTCTACTGCCCGTTCAACAGCTTCAAGACTGACCGCTTACCAGATCAGAGCGCGAAGGCAACGCACTTCTTGATCTCAAGACTCCCCCTCCCAAGCGGGCTCGTAAAGACGTTGCCAACAAAAAGTCTCCACTTCTCAGCCTACCTGGAGGTACGAAGGTCTTGATTTCGATAGATGGAGGTACTAACCATTCGAATAGAGATCAGAAATCGTATATACGAACTCGCCCTAGCGGACACAATGCGGGAACTTAATGGTCGTCGAATCCGTCTAACATACGGGTTAATCAAGGCCTCTCGCCAGCTAAGTAGGTTGTATCTCGTTATGGACCTTTGCCCGACGACTGAGGAACTCGAGAGCTGGCAGTCCAAGTTCGACACATACTGGAGAGCAGCGCATGGGCAGTGCAAATACTGGGGTCTCATCCAGGCTTGTCAAGTATTGCGTCAGGAATTCCGCCCTCTACAACAAAGAACTCTACCTTTCACCATCTTAGCGCAGCATCTTAGCCAATACCTTTACGCTTTCGGCACAACAGAAGATGCGTTGACTCTTGGAAAGTCGCTCACGGCCATCATAAAGCAACCCCTCCTTCCAGGTGTGAGGTTGGACATCCTGCCGCTTCTAAGAAAGCTTTCCAAGCAACGGAAGTCGCTTCCTTGGCTTACCGAGCGTTCTCTTGGGGAGGAAAGCCGCTGGAAGACTAGCAACCTGCTCACTACGTTGTTCTACCATTGGGCCCAACCGCCAAAGGGTCTCGAGGTTGTTGAGCGTGATATCGCCTCTGTCACTCTGACCATGGGCAAGGTTCACGGCACTCACGGCGCTCATGAGCGGCCATCGATGATCATTGGATTACGCTGCGCCTGTTTCACAGATCTCACATCTGATGAGAAAGGCGCAACCATGCTGGACTTTATCAAGGCAACCGGGCTGGAGAAATTGCATTACTTCATCACGGAGTTCCGCTGTTGTGAGAGGCGCTACACGTGGCATCAGTCTGGGGCGACTGAATCCCGGATGCAGATCTCTGAAGTTCAAGACGAGGATTAGCGGTTGTCATTGAGGGATCGGAGTGCACTTCAAGAATGGGTTGGGGTCCTGGTCGATCGGTCGAGAAAAGATTGGCATTCACAGTTTTAGAGGGCGAAATAGCGGTTTAGAATCAAAAGCAATGGTTTTTGTTACAACAGCTCCAACATCTTCTGGGTTATGACGCTTGTAATTGATCAAAATGCAAGAGAGATAGAATTGAGCGCATGCAAAACGCGGTATCTGCACGGCAACACCAATACGAGATCGACTGGTGTCGTGGTGATCGAGCAGCTCTGAGGCATACGATATCCCATGACTTGTCGCTCATCAACGTCTGATGGAGTGGATATCTCTACAGTATGCTACGAAACTTGTATCGCATTCTACAAATAAGTCGGGTTTGTAGGATACATAGCTTTGTAGACTGCCTAGTCATGCGTATTTCGTATCATGTATATTGCAAACTGCAGGCTGCGACACGACGAGCTGTGGCCGCACCTAGTGGCGTTAATTTCTTGTAAGCGACCAGTATCGAGTGGGCGCATTATCGAGAGTTGAGTCGGCTTCAAATTGACCGCGGCAATCTGTAGATGGGAATACACACAGCACAAGAGCATCAATGGATTACATCGGTATGTACCCGATCCAATAGATAAATAGAACGGCCTGAAATTGACATAATGACAAAGTTTGCAGGGCAAAGTGATGATCGTGAAGAAGTAGAAGTATCATTCCAAAAACATCGCTACAAGAATCGAAGTTACCCATCTAGGGTAAGTATATATACAAGATGAACATTGCAAAATATGCAAAGTTGTCTACTGAAGGGCCTCGATCATACGGCGGATCTTAGCAGCAGACTCGCTACCAGCCTCCTGCTCAAGGAAAGCAATGAAGGTCTCGAGGGTGTAGGTCTTCTCACCAGCACCGGCCTCGGGTGCGGATGAAGCAGCAGGCTTGGTGGGCTCAACGGCCTCGGGTGCGACGGAGGTAGGCTCGGCCTCGATCGGGGCGGCAGGGGTGGGCTTAGCAGCTGAGGGCTTGGGAGCCTCAGGGGTAGGCTTGGGGGCAGCGCCGGTGGGCTTAGGAGCAACGGCAGTGGGCTTAGGGGCAGGAGCGGAGGGCATAGGACCCTTGGAAGGACCGGGCTTGTTGGCCTCAGGCTTGACGCACTGGGAGTAGTATGGGTTCCACTCCTTGCACTCAAGACCCTCGGCGCACGTGTTGTCACCCTTGAAGCCCTGGCCACCACATTGGTAGTACTCCTTGATGGGACCAGATGGCTCAGCGGTAGGAGTGGGGCGGACAGCGGTGAGCATGGTGGTAGGAGCAACGATAGCGCTGGAGACGGTGCCAGGAAGCATCGAAGAGGTGCTGTTGGCTACGGGGTAGGGGGCGACAACGCTGGAGACCTCAGGAGCAGCGGCAGAAGAAGCGGCAGCAGAGGTAGCGGCGGCAGAGGTAGCGGCAGCGGAGCTCTCAACGGCAGAAGAGACCTCAACTGGGGCAACCGAAGAAGGCTCAGCCTCGGCAGCGGCGCTGGTGGAAGCGGGAGCAGCAGTGGAAGAGGCGACAGCGGAGGCCGGGGTGGAGGCAGCAGGAGTCTCGGCACCGCCGGTAGCGGTAGCAGCAGGGGCACCAGCGAGCTCGCCGAATGTGAGAAGCTCGGGGGTAGCCTCAGTACCACCAGCGATGAGCGCAGGGCCAGGGGCGGGGTACGAGTCGAGATCGGCGTGGATGGAGAAACCAAGACCAGTGCCAGTCTTGGAGTAGGCCTCTGGGAAGGTGACACCCTTGGGCTCGAGGGTTCCGCTACCGGTGACGGTAAGCTGGTAGCAGGTCATGTAATGCTGAGCACCACCAGCGGGGCCTGCAGCGTGAAGGGCGATAGCCTCAGCACGGAGGAGGTAGTCACCAGGGGCGATGTTCTTGGGGATGGTGAAGTCGAGCTTGCCGCCTATTGGATTGTTAGCAGTAGTTTCCAGAGGACATGATGCCGTACGTACAGTTGTAGTTGAGGTCCTTGGTGCCCCAGAAGTCGTTGTCGCCCTGAGTGGCATCTGGGTTCTTTGCCCAGGTGTTCTGGTAAACCTTGAAGAACTCGCTGGAACCATCGGCAGTGGCAGCATCCTCAACCTTGGACATGTATGCGAGGACGGGACCCCAGTGAGCACCACCAAGACCCTCCTCCTTGCAGTCACGGGTGTTGTGCTGGTGCATCTCGATAGTGACTGTGTCACCAGCCTCAAAGTCGCACTTTCCTTCAGCGGGAGCAGGGCTAACGTTGCCTAGATTGATGTCAGCACAGATCCAAAGTGGGAACTCGAGGGGTACTGACATTGCAGCGCAGTGCTTGTGTAGTCCTCAACGGGGCTGTTAGAAGGTGGCAGCCTGGCACAGGTGCTCTCAAGATCCTTTCCGTTCTTCCAGAGTTGTTGGAAAGTGGCGTGGGCGTTGGCCAGCGCCAGGATGGCGGGGAGGACAGCTACGGACTTCATAGTGTATATATTGATGCGAGTAGTGATGTTTGGAATGAGTGACAAGTCAAAGGTTGACAAAAGAGTGACTGAAAAGGCGAAAGAACGAATGAATGACGAAGTCCTGTAGTGAAAGAATGTCCAGCGCAGCTGCGTTACTGTTACAAGTCTGGCGAGCTCGAAGACTTATATCCTCCAGCGCAGGAGATGAGTCCAGCCGTGAAGCCGAGGAATATGTGGCACGCTGCATAGCTAGCCGTTTCGTTTACCACCGGTCCAATCTCGAACCTGACGCCGGGGCGCTATGTGTCTGCAGCCACACTCGGATAGATGAACGAAGGATGGATACCTAGGCCAAGAACAGAACTCTTGGGAACCAGAACCAGGTCCATGGGTCAAACGACGACTGACAGGTTTGACATGTGGAGCGCTCATTGGTGGAGATGCACTGTGCCTGGAGTTCGAGCCGAGTAGAGCTTAGTGCTGTTTTGACATTGGACGAGGCGAGAATCCTTCACATTGCAGGGGCTCCGAGGCATCCTCTGTAAAGTGAAGGCGTTACTGTCCCGCGCAGCAAACTGCACATTGGTGTGGCTGTTAACGCATTGCAACTGCTTATTGCGATGGCTGGAGCAGAGCTTGCAGAAGATGGATCGCAACAACTTCTTGATCGCACTTGCTTTGGCACCTGCCTTGCCTCGGAGATGATGGTGCGATAGGGTATGGCTGCAGAATCTAATGATGGCATCCTCTGCAATCTCAAGAATCTGCAGCTTAAGATACAATGCGGGTCTGCCAACCCAGGGTCGAGGTATCAACACCGGCTCGAGTGTGGATATGAACATGTTCGTCGGAGAATGACAAGACGGCTAAATAGCCACAGGATAATACCCTGAGTCGACTTTTACGCCGTATGCGGATGGAGTCATGGAGAAATGCGCGCTCATGCTCATGTGCTTTGCGCGCGGCACGTTGAAACGTTGGGGTGGGGCGAGACGAAACACCAACTGCATGATCGCTGCTGGGGTTGCAAGTGGACGCCGTGAAGGATCGCGGTAAAGTGACTGAGTCTGAAGGATGAAGTATCCAACGTTGAGGAGATGAAGGCGCGTATGTAAAGGCGGTCTTGGATCGTGGTTGCCAGGAGAGAGGCCGCCAGGCTGGTACGCGCCCAAGGATGGTGATGATGTCATCGCCAGCGCGCCGCATCGGCCAAAACTCACAATGCAACTCGTTCTTTGCTGTGTCATGTCACGAAAAAATTGTCGCATAACACGTGCAATCAAGGATCAAGCCTACAACAAGAATTCGTCTCGGGTTCCGACAGATGATCAGCATGGTCATCGTTCCCCGTAGCCACCGCGTCCGCAAGATGTTGCCAGTTCGCCCACTCAGATCTTGAGCGTGTCTAACTCCCATCTCCGACCTCATCATTACCTCCCACATCTAGGAGGAGATACAGGCTTGTGGACACAGCGGCCAACGGCGTTATTCAAGAATGACAAGGTTTACTATAGCGACCCTGCTGAGGATGCTCATCGTAATGCGGAAATACATATGCAGTCCGTATCGAATTATTGATGCGCAGTGTAGCAGCGACATTACAGCCTGCAGCAGTTGGAGCCCTTTGTTGAGAATGCTGTGGCAGCGCCGGCACACCGGTGACACAGGATTCAGTGGTTTCCCAATCTGGAAGACAAACGCAGTAGCGTTGTTGTGATCACCAACCCAGTTCAGCTCCCACAAGGGTTCCTGCGAGAATTTAGCAAAGCCACATTTACGTTCCGAAGACCTAAACGCTCGCCACAGACCTCGACCCGGATGTGATGGCGCGCGAGCTCTCGGAAACGGAGCGCGAGGCTTGCGCAGAATTCGGAAGACTTCTCGAAGAAGAAAGACAGGCCATTACCGACCACCAGCTCGCTTTGAGTCTGTCCGGCTTGAGCACCGATGACCCAGAGTACCTACTCAGCTCGACTTACGCTACGAACCTGACGAACGATCGCTTCCTCGATACCAATGAGCGATGGGCTCGTGCGAAGGAGCTCTACGCAGAGATGCACGCATGCGAAATCGCATCGCAAGCGTCAATCGAGCCCGATGGGCCAAGCGATACCGAAGAAGACGTAACTGAGAACGACTCAGAACCAGACCCGGAAGAGCCCCTCATCCTGTGCGAGGCGTGTCTCGACAAGATACCGCCCGTAGACACTCTGACGCTTGAGTGTGAGCCCGTGGCTCATAGCTATTGCCGAAGCTGCCTCCTCGATCATTTCACCATGGCTCTCGACGACGTTACGATATTTCCCCCCAAATGCTGCAAGAATCCAATACCTCTTGAGGTCTGTCGTACCATGCTTCCTCAAGGATATGTCAAAAGATTTGATCTCAAAGTAGAGGAGCTTGCTACACCGCACCCCACGTACTGCGCCAACTTCGATTGCGCCGCCTTCATCCGAATCAAAAATATTAGCGCCGATGTAGGCACCTGCGTCGACTGCAATGAAATGACCTGTGTGCAGTGCAAACACCGCGCACACGACGGATTGTGTCCGAGTGACCCACATGTACAGCTTCTCATGGATACAGCGAAGCGGGCAAAGTGGCAGCAATGTGGCAAATGCAGGAACATGGTCGAGCTGTCCCAGGGTTGTTTTCACATGAGCTGCCGCTGCGGTCATGAATTTTGCTATGTCTGCGGTGTGCCTTGGAAAACATGCAGGTGTCCAAAGTGGGATGAAGATTTCCTTATTCGACCTGTTCCTGTCACTCAGCTAGGTCCCGCTCCAGCGCCCGTTGAGCATGAACATACTTGGCAACGTGTGAACGGCGGAGATTGTGATAATTGCGGTGCTGATCACTGGCTACGATTCGTCCTGTACTGCGGCGGGTGCGGTGTCACTTATTGCTGCCGGTGCGTCGAAAATCTCCATTAGAGGCGTTCGACGACTCAGGAAAAGTTGGAGGGTACTGTTTCCTACCATATGAAGAGAAAGATCCGGGGACCTGGGCAGAAGATGATGTGGGCGCAGGGCTTGTGTCGCAAGCGGGTGTCAAGACCTGAAATCTGCACGCAAGTTCGACGAACGATACTAAACAGACTGCGAAACTAGCTGCGCATGCCGTATTAGCTTTTCAAACACTATCAGCAATTTTTGTACCCTTCTGGGTTCGGTAGGATGTACCCGAGGACTGCTGACGATGTGGCGGTAGACGCCTTGAGCCTGGCCCATAAGGTTTCTTTTGCCAAACATGTCAGTCAATGACTCGTGCCATGTGCTGCATTGTCGGTGAACGGCCTGTAGCGCGTCACTTATAAGTTCTTCTTTGCCGCATTCCCATCTTGAGAGCAATGTGGTTGTCGCGATGTTGGTGCTGACAGACAGCATGGTATGGTCGTGATCCGACGGGTAGGAAAGACACGCATTCGACATTTAGCTGCACAGCTTCCTTTTGTCGCCACGACACCGCCAGTAACGCCTGTCAGCCCTCAATTGGAGTTACTCTGGAGTAGAAGTGGTCATGAGCGATCGGCGCCAGGCCCCTTTTTAGCCGGATGCCACGCCCAAGTGTGCGGGAGGTGTCAGCGCTAACCAGTGCTTATCCCGACGCCTCAACACCGCTTTGCCAATGACCTCAGCTTCCGCAGCGCCGCCTTCTCTTTATCATCTCCACATAGTCAGGAGAACATGCAGTCGCCTGCTTCGTCTAAGCCACTATTGCGAACGGTTCTATGTGAGTTCGGGAGCTTAGCATGTCCCTGGGCTACCTAGGCACACGGCACTCACGGCAGCACAATACGAACAATCACAACAACAAAAGATTAGGCTGTAAGTCCCGCATTTCGAGGTATTGAAATACGGTAGCTGATTCAGAATAACGCGACACAGATACCACATGTGGCCCCACATCCCTCAAAGCTGATTCGCAAACATGTTGGCAATGCCACCATCACAGTGGATACGTTAATGATGTGCAATCGTATCGCTTGGCAGATCCCGACACGTACCTGCATATCTTCGGGAAAACCTTAAACATGAAAACGGCGTCGGCATGTATGCCGCGGATGCTGCGTCTGCAGATCTTTTCGCAGTGTCGATCATGCCGAACATTGAGTGGCTTATTTCATCTCCTTCTCCCGCCTCGGTGTCCGAACGACGCCAAGGGGAACGCGGGTTGGGCTGAAAAGTAACGCTGAGCTCTCATGATCTACTATCTATACTGGTTGCCCGATCCACAAATGGAAGCCTTACAGCACGTTGCTTCTTGCGCCTCGCCTCGCCTCGGGTGTCTCGACCATATTCGGATTCACGGTTCATACTTTTTCCCGCCGCATAGCTCGCTTCATCGTATTCTCAAGCCCCGCGGCCAAACATAGAACGTTGGGTATTTGGCATACTGTCATGGAATCCCATATAACATAGCCTTCAGCATACCTTCAGATGCGGTGTCCTGCTTCTCAACACACTCGTTTCTTCTTTGCGCAGTCAAGCCTGTTGCGGTCGCTCGTGAACAGTCATACGGCCAACTTTTGTTGCTACAACCATGGTAGCCTACGCTCCTTACTTCGCCGCTACGGCTTCATTGTCGTCTGTCCTCCACGCAGTCACCCCTTCTGAGTTCAGCACCGCGCCCATCTGCCAGGTCGTCACAGCTACAGTCACTGAATATGCCACAGCACGACCCACGACCAACTCTCATGGGCATGGTGGGCCATATTACAATCCCTACAACGACGTACCTCTCCCTTTCGAGTGGCCGGGTAAACCATCACATGGAGAAGCGTACGCTCCTCCTCAGCCTTCGACACCCTACGAATACGGCGGGCCCGCCAAACATGACTACAAAGAACCGTGCTGGGTTCCCAAGGGAACCGACCATCTGAAGAGCTCACTTTCAAATGTCGAACAGTGTGGTAACTCACAATGGGGTTTGATCGACTCTCCCCATCTCCCGGCAAATGGTCTCCCGGGCAGTAATCCCGATGGCGCATATACATCTGAACCAACGAGGCTCCCATCAACACATTCTCTCCACCCTACAGTATCTGGTTATCCGTACGGTTATGCAAATGCCACAGGGTCTACCACTTTCGGACCGACTGCTACCGGGACGCTCGAGCCTATTGCTTCTGCGGCCTCCAAACCAAAGGCTGATCTTCTTTGTCCGTCCATGCCTGACACTGGCGTGACAAGAACATACGATCTTCACGTGGCTTATCAAACGATCGCTCCAGATGGTGTTACCAGAAACGGACTCACGGTCAATGGTCAATTCCCCGGTCCTCTAATCGAAGCCAACTGGTATGAATTGTATTACAACATTGTAGTGCTTTTACTGACCGCATCAGGGGTGATTGGATTCTGTGGAGAGTTACGAATGATTTGACTGATGAGGGTACTACCCTTCATGCCCACGGCCTTTTCCAGACAGAAAGTACTTGGTATGACGGTGTACCTGCAGTCAGTCAATGCCCGATCACTCCAAACGGCGGTTACTATGAGATGCTTTTCCGGGCCGACCGCTATGGGACGTCTTGGTATCACAGTAAGTTCTTCAATACTACACTGAGATACGCAAAAGCTAATTTTCTAGGCCATTACAGTGCGCAATACTCCGGTGGCGCTCACGGCCCCATGGTCATACATGGGCCAAAACACGAGGATTACGACATCGACATCGGCCCCATCATTCTCGAAGATTGGTTCCATGCTGACTACTATACCCTTGTTGAAGGCACTATGAACGGCCAATTCCCGCCCTCCAACAACAATCTCATCAACGGAAGAATGAATTACCCATGTGCCAATACGACCTTGCCTTGCACGCCTAATGCAGGTATCTCTAAGTTTAAATTCCAGTCTGGAAAGAAGCATCTACTACGCCTCATCAACACAGGCGCTGAAGGCAACCAGAAGTTCAGCATCGATGGGCACAAACTGAAAGTCATCGCCGTAGACTACATTCCGGTCGAGCCGTACACGACCAACGTCGTCACGCTTGCCGTCGGTCAGCGCACTGATGTTGTAGTCGAAGCCATCGGCAAGCCTAGCGATACCTTCTGGATGCGCTCTCAGCTTGCCCAAGGCTTCCGCTGTACACTCACCGATGGCATCTCACCTAACGCTCTTGCGGCAGTATACTACGAGGATGCCAGTACCGACGCTATCCCCAAATCTATCTCTGACGTCACGAAGGAACAACTTGAGCAATGCAAGAACGATCCCATCACCCAGGGTATCCCGCTGTGTAAGGTCCCATTGGAAGAGCCTGACCATGTCGAACGTGTGGACTTTGACTTCCGCTCCAATGGCACCAACTTCATCTGGTATCTCAACAACAGCACCTACCACGGTAACTACAACAAGCCAACGCTACTGAAAGCAAAGCGTAATGAGTCGGACTTCGACCCCGAATGGAACGTGTACCAATTTCCCGGTGCGAAGCATGTCCGCATCCACATGGTCAACCACGGTCTCATTGGCGGCCACCCTATGCATCTCCATGGCCATGACTACCACATCCTGGCTGAAGGCTTCGGCGAGTGGGATGGTGTTGTGACAAACCCGGAGAACACGCTGCGCCGCGATGTCCACCAGATGCAGAATGCACGAAACACCACCGGCACTGTTGAGCCTTCGTACCTGGTGCTGCAATTCGTGCAGGACAATCCAGGTGCATGGCCGCTGCATTGCCATCTCGCTTGGCATGTTAGTGGAGGACTTTTCATGCAGATCTTGGAGAGACCAGAGGAAATCCAGAAGCAGACATTTGGGGATGAGCAGTTTCAACTTTGCAATGATTGGGATGCTTATACTTCTGAAGTGGTCTTGAATCAGATCGATTCGGGGTTGTAAGTAAAGTTTCATGTATGAAATGAAACTTGCATATAGAGTGCGAGCATAGTACATACCCATGACTTTCCCCAATGGTTGTATCACGTGATTTCTCACCTCGCAGATTGATGAAAGCCGCGTGATAGGTCTTCGTTACCTAGCTAGTAGGGTGGTTCGCATCTATTTCGCATCTTTTGCAGGTCAAGTATCTCGACAGGACGCATCCGTGGACCTGGGCAGTCACTGGAGAAGACGCGTTCAAAGGCGGCCCAGCCTCGGTTGTTCCCAGAAAATCGATATGCTGAACTCCGCAATATCGCCGAAGATACAATCCTGCATCCCACCGGGCTTCTCGAAATATCCTATTTTACCTCTCTTGCCGACCGTTAATTTCCGAGGATAAATCTGCAGTAGCAACGGGCTATAGGCGGCAGGAGAGATGAGCTCGGGATATGCGCGCGGAAAGATTTAGTTATGACGTCATGGCTTCGCGAACCCACGGCAGCCCATTAATAAAAGTAAATTAAAGACACCGACCATTAGCAGAACTTCCGTGCTCACGACATCTACCCTTCATCCTAGTCTGCTATTACTGGCCAATGACAATGAGCGTAGCTCCGCAGCATCTCAAAGTCCTCCTGACAGGTGGTGCCAGGGGTATCGGACGCGGGTTGTTCAGACAGCTGCTGACATCTGGTCATGACGTCGTCATCCTGGATTCCAA